TTTTCGTTTCTCTTGAATATATCAGTTCTTTTTCTCATGATATTGCATGATATTGCATGAGGGCGAATTCTTTGTATAACGGTTCGTTCGTAATCTCAGTTATCTCTATAATCTTCTAAACAGGTGAAGAGAATTAGAGAAGGAGGAGAGAGAGAGAGAGAGAGAGAGAGAGAGAGAGAGAGAGAGAGAGAGAAAGAGATAGAAGAGGAAGGCAAAAAAAAGGAAAAGAGAGACTACTTTACGAGTTCACTCTAATTTTTATTATCGGTTACGGCCGCAATATGTCACTAGATAATAGGTGCTGATACATGCATTATCAGCGAGAGTGTTTAATATCTTTTGTCGTTTATACCGCAGACCGTATAATCGGTGAACAAGTTTTTTAACGTTTTTATAACATTAGCTTTTGTTTTAATTAACGTTATTTGTAACACTAAAAATAAAATAAAATTAAATAGAATAAAACATTATTTCTACCATTTTTGCGTGTATATTTTTTTGGGACTTGTTCAATATATTAACCCCATTTTATTTAAATGCAGTTAAATAAAATATGTTTTAAGTCCTTTATAAATGAATTAAATATATATGGAACCCTTTGAATTCTCTTAATCTTTGTTAATCTTTGCTTGATAAAACCACTCATTCAAGTCATTCTCCGAAACGGGCTCAGCACTCGCGAGCGAGATTGGCCACGAGAAAAGCGCGATTTATCACTGCGAGCACACACGACGTGTTACATAACGCCTCTCTCTGCGTGCCATTATCTCCAAGGATGAACTATGATTTTGTCATGAACGCTTCGCGCTTACTTACGCGTGAGAAAGGACTCGCTCGTATTCATTCACGTGTACAATTTACATATGGAACCTTGGTCCACGCGTTGTTCTTGATTGTGAGCATCTTATGTTCTTGTAAATGTAAATCATGCATTTCTTAAATCCTTGACATCAAAAAAAGTCTTATGTAATATATTTTATAAAATCTTTTGATACCAGAATGATCATATATCTTTAATACTGATTCCATAAAAATTCCAGTAAAATAGATTCTTGATATGAGATTGATAAATTCTTGAGTACAAGTTGGCAGATTTTTTCGTACAATTTCTACTCATTCAGAATTTAGATCTTAATTTAAGAGTATCCGTTTTCATAAATGTCGGATGCCGCCAACACTCTCGGATCTTGTACTACCGAGATTACACGGATATTCATTTTTATTTTGGTGAAAGAAGGTGCGAAACGATTTTCACCATGCCGCGCGAGCGTGATCTCTTTTCCTCCGAAAAGGATAGCCAGTCGTCATCTCGCAAGTACATACAACCTTACAACGCTGCGTGCGAATGGGAGTCATGCATTATTTATCGGCTGCCATCGATCCTACTCGCTGTAAGTATAGTGCACTCGGTCTATGGTCGCAGATTCTGAGATACTTACTATGTAGAAAACTCGAAACCGGAGAAACAAGTCCTCATTGACAATTGAGGACTTGTTATCACAAGTTTACGAAAACCAAGAAATGTGAGGGAATGTAATTAAGTAAGATCTACGGATCAAGGATTGGGACCGTAATATTATTAAAAATCCATCGATCTTATAAAACCTAATCTATCTCTGATCATAAATTTAGAAATTTACTTACAAAATCATAAATTTATAAAAAGAAAAAAAATACTGCTTAAAGGGAACGGTCAGAAGTGTCCGTCATCGATATGGATGCGCTTTGGATATGTTGTTGAGCATTAAAAAATATTAGACACGTATTTTTTTTGCGGCTTATTTCGACAAAAATAATAGGTGAACGGTGGAAGTGTCCTTACCCGATTTGGATGCGCTTTGCATGGATATGTTGTTGAGCATCAAAAAATATTAGACACGTATTTATTTTGCGGCTTATCTCGACGTTTAGGGGTTGAAACAACTCCACAATCCCTCGAAAATAACGGATTTTATAAGTTTATGCATGGTTTTTTGTGCTCTTTACAATAGCGTAATCACATTTTTCAAATATGTCAAATTTTTTAATTTAACCCCATATCCACCTATTATTTTTGTCGAGATGAGCCGCAAAAAAAATACGTGTCTAATATTTGTTGATGCTCAACAACATATCCAAAGTGCATCCAAATCGGTGACGGACACGTGTGCTTGCAGAGAAAAAAATAGAAAAAAATAAACTGATAGGTAATTAAAATATTTTCACGTTCTTTCACGATAAATTGAACTTTTTCTTAATAAAGATTTCAATAATGGTTTGTCTTTATTTAGCAACTCGATTTTTGTTGAATATTTTGACGTGACTTTTGGACACAATTTTGGTTAAAACAGAGTTTAATTGAATTAAATAATATAGATATTTAAAAAAATGTATTATAGTTTGAAAATTTTGTGGAATACACAATTGTTAGTCACATTACGCGCGAATTTTTCCGCGATATACGAGCACGCGACACGTCCGAGGAACTCACGCACTCGCGTGTCTCGCATACAAAATGCGTAAAACTTGTTGTTGACTAAGTGTAAACATAAATGGAGGTTCATCGGAGTCGCTTCGATGACGGAATTACCGGAAATTAATCTTCCTGCACGGAACAAATAATGATGCGTTTGTCGCGTAGGAATTGCGGATAATCACGTAGATCCGAGAACTTATAAATTCGCGATTTGCATTGAAAATCTGTTGATCCACGAGAAACAAAATCTAAAATTGGTAGAGACGTAGAATCAAAGATTGTGGAGCTTTGATAACATGAGTCTATGATTTCGTAGATTCAAGATCAATTGTCTAAAAAATCCTTGTATGGTTGTTACATTTCATAAATTTTAAAAACAATTTTTTTTTTATTATTCAAACGAATCTTCTGATTCGTGGATTCTTGCCTCTGTAAATTACGGAGGACTTTATTACTTTTAGAAAAAAAAATGGACATGCAGTTGACAATTGTCAATTTCCCTGTGCACGATTAGATACTCGGTTAAACGTCGCCAAGCATAAACCGCGTAATCACGCGCTCAGCAGCTAGAACTGGAATGATTAATCCGTTAGTCTCGTTACCCTATTTTCGCTTAATGCGATCGACAATCTGATCAAAGTTAAACGGTAGAAAACCGTGGAAATAACATAACGGCTTTCGTCGCGGGTCGGGAATCACCGCGGGGAACCGAAAACGCGGGTCCCGGTTGGGTGTATCGCGTTCATGACGAATCGCGGACTAATGCAGTCCAATCGGGACAATTTGGCGAATTGCCGTTAGAAAGCATAACAGCCTGCATACATCATCTGTAAGGATACCGCGGACGCATCCTTACGGGACATCTGCGAGACGACCGCAATCGTTTGGGAAAGTGTGCCGCGTGTTTTAAGAATATCAAGAATATCAGGAAAGAAATACAACAAAAATAGAATGATTAATCCGTTAGTCGGCTAATGCCATCATTGAATTGTCGGTTAATTTGCTACTAGTCTCTTCACGTCTGGAAAAACATTTGATAACTGTCGATTCAATCTGGACTGCAGTTAAACAGTTTTGCGCTCAATGAGTTGATATCATGTCGTTTAATAAGGATCGAGTTTGTGAAGCGAGTGATTTAATTGCACGTATATTTTAGATTAAAGATACGTAACGGCGTAAAAGATTCTTGCTGCAATTAATGAATCAGTGTGTAAAGCAGAGACCCGCATAATATTATCTCTATTATGATTCAAATGGATATATAATTTTTTAAGCAATGTACTTTCTAAAGAATAAATTCAAAATTCAAAGAGACATTTGTTTACTTTCTATTAATTGTTAAGTAACAGCGTATTGGTTGCATAAAACTGCATTCTTAAATTTATCAACAAATAAAATAGAAATGCGCTACGATATGTCATTTGAATTTCCATATTAATCAATGCAAAGTAATAATACCTGCATACAAATTATAAAAACATATAAGCTTTAATTAATGCTTTACTTTATGAATGCTTTACGAATTTCTCAACCCCTGAAGTATTATGCAGTAGATAAACTATTCGTAGATAAACAATCTTTGCGTACGAAAATGCGTAACGTAAATCATAAGCTATACGCCTTTCGGTCGACGGAATTTTTCACGAAGATACGCACGATATGCTCTCCCTGGCATAAAGTACAGTCCACTTTCTCTCCGAATAAATAGCTTGTCTCTTCTTCACTCTTTCAATTAGAACATGCAAATCCGAGAAATACTCTCTATACTGTTTCGTTGGACGCCAAGCACGGATTTAAAACAATCAAATTTAACGTGAAAATTGCATTGCAAATACTTTATGCAATAGACATATAAGTATGTAACAATCACGAAAGTACCGATCAAAGTTTTACTCGAGCGAGTCGTTCCACTTTTTAGTTTAATTTAGCCTAATCGAGACTGCGCGCTGCGGTATGGAGCAC